TAAATTGCAAGAGTATCAAATTTCAAATATATAGTTATAGCTCGAAAGCAAAGAGCTTTAGAGCTATAAAACTAAGCCACTTATAAGTAAAATTAAGTGTAGAACAACTTTACTTAGGCAGCTAGAAATGGTTTACTTAATAAAATTTTGAGAAAATTGCAATTGTTTTTAAGAAAAATTTGGTACAAGTGATCGTCGGGAAGAGTTAGTGATTTTTTTCTCCTGCATTTTGCTTACTTCACATATTTCGCTAATATTATATATTTTGCTTACTCTTTGTTTACTTCGCGTTCTTCGGTTACTGTGCCTACTTTTTAACATCGTCTCACTTATTTTGATTTTTTTTTCTTCACTTTGTTCGTTCCATTCGTTCTGTCTTACTTCATTTACTTTGCGTTCTTCGGTTACTATACCTACTTTGTTAACTTCGTCTTCCTTATTTAGATTTTTTTTTTTTCGCTTTGTTCATTCCGTTTGTTCTGTTCGTTTCGTCTTACTTCGTTTACTTCGCTTTCTTCAGTTACTGTGCCTACTTTTTTAACTTCGTCTCCCTTATTTGGATTTTTTTTCTTTGCTTCTCTGTTTGTTCCGTTTGTTTCATTTATCTAGCTTCGTTTGGTCTGTTTGTTTACAACGTTGTGTTACTTGAACTGCAAGAATAGTATAACAAGCTATTAGGAGTTAAGCAGCTAATACTATTTGTTTATCTGTCACTATTTTGACGTGTAGCCTAATATGCATGTACTTGGGAAGGTATTTCTCTACTATGTATTACTGTAAATATTTCGCTTCTAATTTTTATTTATATTATGTGCTAACAACCAACTAACCTTTTACAAGAATAAATTTTATTTTATACTAATTTGATCTGTGTAACAATTTTGTGTAATATTTATTTATTTAACTTTTAAACTATGATATACTTTTATTTATGATTTGTACTACTAATGCACTGCGGTGTATGATGCACTCTTTACTAATTCCCTTTTATTTTAGTAGCTACAAATATTTTTTTTTATATTCAAGACCTAATTTATATTTTATTAGACTTTATATTTTATTCACTTTTATATTTTATTTTTATTAGAATAGTTATTCTCTTTCTTGCAAATAATATAAAGTGATAGCTGTATTCGTGAATAGTATACTGGCACATACTAGCTTTATATTATTAGAATTTAAAAGCCCTATATAGCCATTGACAGCCTGGTTATTAGTATTACTTTCTCTAGTTATATCTTCAGATATTTCTAAGTTTTAGTGGCTAATAATCTTTATATAGGGCAAACAAATTTTTATTATACCTGGCTCATATAAAAAGGACAATAGGTGACAACCTCAGTAATTAACCTATTACTCCTTATAGTATCTTTGGAGGCTATTAAATTTAAATTCCATTAACCACATATTTATTATTTTTTTTTTTTTGGTATTAAGGTGAGGCCTTGCTCGTATCTTTATTAATAATTTTTGAAATAGCAAC